TGGGAGGGAGGGATAAATGATGTTAGTCAGTGGGAAATGCTACAGAGAAAAATGAGTGACGAGGCACAGGTGGTGCTGGCTTCGATGGGGCTCGGGGAAGGCCTCTCTCTCTGTCCAGGGCATGGGTGGCCTGTGTGACATGGCCTGAGCAGTGGGCCTTGCACGTGCCTGGGGAAGGTGTGAGGCCACAGGAGGGGCTGTAACAGAGCCCCACCCACAGGAGCCCCTGGACTCAGCCCACCCTCTGGGCCTGCTACCCCAGCACCTGCGGTCAGGGCTGCGGTGAGCTCCAGGCTGCACGCCCCTGCGTCCGGCTCTGGTTCTCCAGGCAGGCGGACCCGCAGGCGCAGGTCTCTTCCCTGCTCTGGCCTGGCTGCCCTGGGTCCCGTGGCTCTGGCCTGGCTGCCCTGGGTCCCGTGGCTCTGGCCTGGCTGCCCGGGCCTGATGGAAGGAGCGGCTGGGAGGCCGCCCTCTGCTTTCCTGCCTCTGCGCCTCACTTTCTCTTTCCGTTCTGGACTCGGTTGGCCCTGCGCCCAGTGTGAGAATATGCAGAACTAGCACCCACACGCATGTGCTCACACTCACGCTAGCAGCCCCCTGCCCTTACACCTGGCCCAGTGCCCCTCCCCTGTGTCCCACACCCCTGGCACTGGACTGCCTGGAGGCAGAGGGAGCTGGAGCGCAAGCCTGGAGTGCTCAGGACGCCTGGGGCTGGGCCAGGGAGGTGGCTCACAGCCTGCCCAGTGCGCCCCAGGCCTGAGACCTGCACGGGGGTCTGTGTCCTGGGACTTACTCTGTGATCTTAGCAGCAGGTGAGAGGCTCATTCATAGATTCCACCAGGAGGTACTGAGGTCAGCTGGGTTCAGGTCCCTGGGTGACCCCTGGTGATCTGTGGTGATAGGACCCCAGTCCAGAGCCATCCAGGTACCAGGTGGAGCTCAGTCCAGGACCAGCCCTTCTGTAAGGTTCCAGGTACATGGCCTGTGCCCTACAGACCAGCTTTGGGGAGGTGGGTGTGGT